CAGATGTTGTGCCCGGTGCGGCCGGCCCCCTGCACCCCCCACGCTACGCCACTGCCTACAGCTTAAGCTCTGTTCCTCCTGTGAGCAGCGGCACAACCTCAATGATGAGGTCGATTGTCCTGTGAGAACAGCTTGAGCCCCATGCCCCTACACGTTGTGGGCACAAGTTGCCGTTTGCCAGGTGCCCACCGCTGATGGCTAGAGAGGAGCTGTAAAAAGTTCTCATGGGGCCGAGGCTTCCCGTCAAGAATCCTCACCCGACGAGTTTGCAGAGCAAGAGAGTTCACTCCCTCTTTCTTCATCGTCCCATTTGTTGGGTAGCCGCCTGGTCCGAATCCACTCAGCCACAGCTAATGGCACGCCAAGGCCATAAAAGTGTTCAGCCGTCTTTACAGTCCCACACTGGCGTTTGTGGCCTTTTGTATATCCCCCGCAATTGCGAGTTCATCTAGCCCGCTGCGTTCCCTCATTTTTATCCTCCCCGTCCCCCAGGAGTGCGAAAGCCTGGCAAATGCCCTTGCCTTGCTGCAGCAGATTCTCGTCGCCATATTGGCACATGTGTTGACATGACCTCACGCAAGGAGGGCCATGGGTCAGTGGGCAGAGACCCGTGTGTGTGGTGTGTGTGTGAGTGGAGAGTCACAGGTTCAATCCCCAACAGCAACATCCAGGCTCTCCCCAAACCCTGGAGAGCGGCATCAGGGGTGGTTTGCACCCATTGGAGCTGGTAGGGCCGGGAACCAACAGGAGGTGGAGCCAAGGAGAGGCAGTGCCAGGCCCTGATTGGCTGGAAGGAAGGAGGGAGGCTGGCTGTTGGGCAGGCTGAGATTGGTGGGGCAGTGCCCCATTTGCCCTGAGGAAATGGCTTCCTCCCACTGCAAGCTGTTGGCTGTCAACACAGACAGTGCCGAGGATACAATGGACCAGTGATCCGACTCCGTATAAGGTAGCTTCCAAACAGTCCCGTTTGAGTTCTGTCCCTTCCATCTGAGCTTGTCAGTCGCTTTGTAAGCTCCAAGTGCTCTCCTTTACCAGGGGGGGACCCTGTCTGCTAATATTTCTCCCCAGTCAGCAGCCCTGTCTCTATTTCTGACTTCCATGGATAAGGACCCTGGAGAAGCTTCTGCAAGCCAGAACCCACCTCTTCGGATGCATGAAGTGTTATCCTTCCAGACACAGACGATTTAGTGGCCCCCAAGCATTGCTCTTCTGCTTTAATTTCAGGGTGAGGAGAGAAGAAACGAAGGCAGTGCTACTTGGGTAGGGCAGGGCTAAAGTGACCAGGATAGTACCTAGGGAGAAGAGAGAGAAATGCCTAGAGCAGGGGTCTGCAACCTTTAAGACAAAAAGAGCCACTTGGACCCGTTTATGAAGAAAAAACAACCTGGGAGCCGCAAAACCATTGCGACATTTAAAGCATGCGCGCCGCTGCCCTCCGATCTGACAGCGGGTGGGAAGGTGACGTCGGGACGGTGCGTGAGTAACGCACGCACTGCCCCCATGCGACGTCACAGCCAGTACAGCGCCCGCCACAGTGGGGAGTGTCGGGGCGCACAATGCGCCTCCTCCCCTCGCTAGTATCCGCCCCGGAGCCGCGGCAAAGGTGTAAAAGAGCCACGTGCGGCTCCGGAGCCGCGGGTTGCAGACCCCTGGCCTAGAGCAATTGAGAGAGGCAGAACAGCTGTGCTATTTAAATCCCACTGAATTTAAGAAGTTGGATGACCAGAGAAAACGTTGGGAGGGGCTCCACTCCACCCTATATGTACTGTTTGACACAGAATCGTAGAATTGGAAAGGACCCCGAGGGTCATCTAGTCCAACCCCTTGCAAGGCAGGAATCGCAGCCATAGACTCCTTGACAGATGACCATCCATACTCTGTTTTGAAACCTCCAGCGAAAGAGAGTCCACCATCTTCCGAGGGAGTCCATTCCGCTGTCGAACAGCTCTTACCGCCAGAAAGTTCTTCCAAATGTTTAGTCGTAATCTCCTTTCCTGTCATTTGAATCCATTGGTTTGGGTCCTACCCTCTGGAGCCGTAGCAAACAAGCTTGCTTCCATTTCCCACACGAAAGCCCCTCAGATATACAGTGGTACCTCAGGTTACAGACGCTTCAGGTTACAGACTCTGCTAACCCAGAAATAGTACCTCAGGTTAAGAACCTTGCTTCAGGATGAGAACAGAAATCGCGCGGCGGCAGCAGCAGGAGGCCCCATTGGCTAAAGTAGTACCTCAGGTTAAGAACGGTTTCAGGTTAAGAACGGACCTCCGGAACGAATTAAGTACTTAACCTGAGGTACCACTGTACAAGGTTGGCTCTCCTATCACCTCTCCGTCTTCTCCAGGCTAAACACTCCCTCCACCGTTCCTCACAAGGCTTGGTTTCCAGTCCCACAAGTATATACCATTATCAAAACAGGTGTTAGTCACTTTGATGCAAAGTTTTAAGGATGTTATCAGTCCCTGTTACGTTGGCTGCTTTTAATAACCGTCCGGTCTGATGAAAAATGCTGTTGCCGTTTCCCTCCCTTACAGTCTGGGACTTTCTGATTAATGGTGCCCTTTACGGCCAACCTTTTGACTTTTCTGTGTGTGTTTGTGTGTTGGGAGGGGGCCCAGAACACTGATAAGAAGGCCCTGGGTGGGCACGGCACCCAGAAAACAGTTTTCCTCACAACTTTTTTTCTCCCTCTTTTTCATTGCAATGATTCCTTGCTACCCCCTTCTATTTTCTTTTTACAGGAAACAAAGAAAGGACACTCCAAACGAATTCCGCTAGGGTCATTAGCTGGCTCTCACTTGCCTGATCTTCATTTAGACGGCGGTGACTAATGGCCGTTGTGAGGGGTATGGAAGAAGAGAAGGGGCATTTGTGTAACAAAGATCTATAAATCATCTCAGAAGCGCAGGGAGGATCCATCACTCAACCAATAAAATCTATTCAGCGGGACAAAGAGAGGAAGGGAATCCCAGAATATTCCCTCATCGTCAGCTGGTTCCCCCCCCCAAACAAAAAGTGTGTGTGGGGGGGTGTCCTTCCATTCATAATATACTTTCCACACACCCCTTAATAGAGTATCCGGATTTGGGGAGCTGTGTCTGTAATAAATAGGACCAATGCTTCAAATTGGGTTTGTCTGGTTTGTTACTTGCGATGGCTGCTGAAGAAACAGAAATGAAAGTTAGTGGGGAACCACACAAAAAGTCAGAGCACAGCAGTAATGCTATTAGGACCCACAAAGCAGTAAAAAGAATCCCAGTGGATGGCAGTGAATTTTGCACAAATGACGCGACGGTGATAATAATCCATACTTGCATTCAGTCTCTAAGGTGCTCACATCGCTTTACGTAAAAGGCCAGTATTACTGGCCTGCCATAGACAACAAGGCTGGTGACTGAGGTGGGCTGAGACTTGAGCATGCACGCTTGGCTTGGAAGGGAAAAGGGAATCTTACTTCTAGGCTGGCTTTCCCCCTCCGAATAAAAACTTCCAGAGTAAAATACAAAGAACTCCAAAACATAATAATCACAATAATAATTGTGCCACTCAGTGTAAAGCAATTTAGGCAAATTTTGTAAACAAACAAACAAACAAACAAACCACAAGCTTTGTACAGAGTACAATGGTGTTTTTCCTATTCATTGTGCTACCAAAGCTGCTGTTTTGTGAGGTTATGTTGCATATTTTAAAATAATAATGTGTTTTTGTGTTCATGCACTTTTATAATAATAATATGTATTTTTACCTACGCTCTTAAATAAGTTGAAAGCTCCTTGGAGATCTTTTTTGTGCAAAAAAGCAACTAACATATATGTAGATAATGATATTGATGGTGAACCTGGAAAAGTGAAGTATTTTATAAACGAATCCCGGCTCATTGATATGGATAAGAAAGTCTGCACACCCAACCCAACCCCACTTAGATGACTATTAAAAATTCTATTCCGCCCTTCATCCAAGGATCACAGGGCGGTTTGCCATATAAAAACACAAAAATGCACACCATAGTAACAAGCACAAACAATAAATCTCTCCCCCCCTCCCCCGTTTCAAAAAGCCACACTTTGCTGCGCGTCAGCCCCACTGAACTCAAAAGCACTTCTGAGCAGAGGCAGCCACTTGTGCGAAGCAGCTGAAGTCCTCACTGCGTGCCTCGGGTGCCCTCAAGCGGTGGCCACTGGAAGAGCAGCCAAGACTGCCTCGCGCGAAGCGGCGTTCTTCTCTGAGACTCAGCCTGACGCCAAAGAGATAAAGTCACTATGGACCTATAAATGCACTTCCGGGATCCCACGCAAATAACTGTAACACTGTATATCATAAATATTTTGGGCTAGAGCGGCTCCTCTAATTTTTTTTTTTAAATATTATTAGAAATGTAATTTTATTGCTTTTTTTTTTAACCTTGTTCAAATATTTTGATGATAGCTGAAGACTGCAGTCCAGTGGCTACTTACCTGAAAGTTAAGTCTATTCTGTAGAAGCCTATAAAACTCCACTCAGAAGGAAGTTCTATTGACTTTACTGGAGCTTACCGTACATACTTTATCTCTGAAGCCAAAGCAGGTGCTGTAACTTGCTAGCGGTTTGACTTTACCCCCGGAAGGCGCTCTCTTCCGTCGTCTCCCGAGGCGTACAGATGGATGCCAAACCACAAAAGGAGCTTATACTGTATAGTCGAAGTGAGGGCGCCATATGGAAACCGGAACGTAGGGCTAGCCGTAGCTCACCTTCTCCTCCCGCATCTCTATAACTTTAAAGAGAAAAGCGACTCTCTACCTTCCTTACCCTCTCTCTATGGTTCTACGACCGGAACCGCTCCGCCTTACTTCCGTTTCTTCTTCCGGGTTCGCTCCCCCTCCCGCCCGTTCTCCGAGTCCCCCGTTGCCGAGCAACGCGGGCACTTCCTTCCGGGCCGCGCGGTGCCTGTCGGGAAGCATGGATTCGCACGAGCTCTTCCGAAAGCTCGGAGCCGGCGCCAAGTTCGACGTGAAGCGCTTCAGGAGAGACGCGGAGCGATTCAAGGTAAGGGGGGGGGGGGAGGCAAAAAGGCAGCCATTCTCCCCCTGCCTGGAAGCCCCATCCCTGGCTTCACTTTTGTGTTTGGGCCTAGTTCCACGGGAAATGCGCTCTGTTCACCCCCAGGAGCCCTTGGTTCCTTTATTATTATTTTAGTCTTATTCTCTCGTTCTCATTTACGGACAGTTTAATTTTCATGCCCTTGACATAAGTGGACTAAGAGCTTTTGCCCGGAGTGGGGAACTTGCTTCCCACCAGAGGGCCGCCTTTTGCTTCTTGTCAACCTTCTGGGGGCCACATGACAGTAGTGGGCAGGGCCAGAAGGAAAAAAAATGGGTAAGGTGAATGGAAGTAAAATGCAACCAAGTACAGTGGTACCTCGGGTTAAGTACTTAATTCGTTCCGGAGGTCCGTTCTTAACCTGAAACTGTTCTTAACCTGAAGCACCACTTTAGCTAGTGGGGCCTCCCGCTGCCTCTGCGTCACCGGAGCACGATTTCTGTTCTCAACCTGAAGCAAAGTTCTTAAACTGAGGTTAGCGGAGTCTGTAACCTGAAGCGTATGTAACCCGAGGTACCACTGTATATGGTTAAACCCAGTGGCTTTTTTTGCTTTAAAAAGTGTTTAAGGGTACTCTCATTTTGACTCAAGAAAATGACCATTTTATAGATCAAATCGGGAAAGCTAAATACAGTAAATGGACAAAAGTACAAGGATTCACAAAATGTTTAGGGGTAAGTGTACACCTGCGTGCCCCCAGAAAAAAGTACTGGTTAAACCAGTTTCTACACACACTTGCACACCTCTCCCCCCCCCTCCAAGCAACTGCCATTTTCACAGTTCTGGGGCACGTCTCCGGCCAGCCAAAAACACTTAAGGAGACAGTAAAGTAGAGCTCATGAAGGGTGGGGCTTGGGGAGTCTTCTGAAGGTCAGATAGAGAGGCACAAAGGGGCATTTTTGGTCTATGGGCTTGAGGTTGCCCCATCCTGTCTTCCTCCACCGTGGTCTTTAAGATGCCACCAGGCGCTTTGATTGTTTTTATTCCAAGAGATGCACACAGCTATGCCTTTGGAAGTAATTTTTATCGCGCTGCACATTTTATTCTTGTAAAGCAGTGGCGTAATGGAGCAGGAGCGAAGCACCGTTTATTTTACAGCAGGAGTGAAATGATGTGTTCTCCATTTGAAAGTCCTCTGCATGGCAAATGAAGTTTTTGAGCCCTGGCTGGCTTTGTAACCAGGCAGTGTTCTTGGTACCTGGTTTTCCCTGGGGAAACAAGAACTCTGTTAAAACCACAGGTATGTTGTGGATCTGTTTGATTTCAGGTGATCAGAACTAAGGATAAAGAAGCCGGAGCATCAGAGATTCTGGGAGAGCTTGACTTCTTTGCTAACCAAAGCAAAAAACCACCCAGTCCTTCAGATGATGGCAGAGAAGGAAATGGTCTTCGTGAACCCCGAGTTGAAGCATTGGAATCACAACCTGAAAATAAAGGAAATGAACCCAAATTGGTGGGCAAGGCGAGGGCTGCAGAGAAGAGAAAAGGAGATGGGCAAAGCATGGAAGGGAGGGGCAAAAAGAAAAAGGCTCAAGGTAAACGAATGAGCAGTTCTTTTTAAAAAGAATACATTCTTTTTTATTCTTGTTAAACCAATGAGGCGTCTAGGAAGCATGGGCAGTTGTCAAGTGATACAAACTCATTTGTACACAGTTGTGGCAGCAGAGTAACACTTTAGTATGATTAATCTCTGAGTTGCCTTCCACATATATACTCCAAGCAAATTTAGGGACATTTTCTTAAAAAGCAGCACAACAGAACATAGGCATAATGAACAACGCTGGTCTTCTGGTGGCTTATAATGTTTTCTTGCTGGGTTCAGAAGCTTCTTCTTGTATATTCTTCTTGGACCCTGATCTCCTGTTTTACTTCTGTGATGTACACTGGGCTTACCTGTACTGAGTTATGCCTTTATTGTAATAGGTAGCTTGGAGGAGGCGGTGTAGTTGCTGACTTGTGTTGCACTAGCAGTAATACTAATATTATTATTTGTACCCCACTCATCTGATTGCGTTGCCCCAGCCACTTTGGGTAGCTTCCAACATAATATAAAAAGTTTGGCCCGTAAGACCACTTCCCCAAAACCAAACCCGCCTGTCAATCAGCTGATAGGCCAGGAGTGGGCAGGGTTCAATCTTTCTTGATGCTGCTTTGCCAAACTGCCCCCCCCACGAGTCAACTTTGACAGGAGGGAGGGAACACCCACCTTTCATTCACCTAATTATTATTATTTACATTTTGATTTTTCTGTGAGCCACTTTGAACACATTATTTGGGAAAAATGCGGCTTATAAATGACAATGGCAAAT